GTCCCGGAGCCCTGGAGTTCTACACGCTTGTGCTGCTTGGATCTGCGTGTTCACAGCCTGGGAGCACATGTGCCATTGTCATACTCCCCCTTCTCTAGGGCCCAGGTGGGGATAGAGCCTCGCTCATTTTATTTGTGCCACCATGAGGGGCAGTGTCCAGGGGAGCCATGTGCTCACATGAGTTAAAAGTGACTCACTGCTGTGCTGACTGTCCACACCAGTCCTGGCTTCTTGGGGTGAAACTGTGGGGTAGGACGCTCAGTAGTATTCGGATTCCTTACAGGGTTTCCCTCTTCTGCCTGTTCCCCCTCCGGGCTCTTTAGAGGACAAACTGCCCTGCTCCTGCCGCTGACCACCTGGCTCAGTGTGTGTGAAGCAGGGACCCGCTGTCGTAGGGGCTGTGCAGACACTGTTCTACCAACCTTGTCAGATTGGCCTCCACTTGCAACAGTGGGAGCGTTTGGACAGTATCTGCCCACGGTGCTTCTGGCTTAGTTAATGCTTGGGTGGGAATTGAGAGAATTTCAGTTGCCCGGAGGCTGATACCAGGCTTTTTGTTTTCATGATGCTTCTATACCGTCAGGTCGGGAGCTCTGCAAACAACAAACCCACAGCTGACCCCTGGCAAGAGCAGAACGAATGAAGCAGACACTCTCAGGTTGCTTTCCTGGGTCCTCAGTATTCTGCACCCTCAGACGCGAAGGCCTGGTTACAATCTAATCCCAAACGAGTTCTGGTACTGTCGTCTGCGGCCAACCAGACCTTTCATTGATAGGTGGCGCTGTTGCAGTTTTTACAGCGCAACAAAGCCTGAGTTAATGCCTGAAGTTCCTGATCTTAAACTCAGGTGGAGGAGGTGGGGCAGGCCTTTCCCGGGTCCCCCAAACCTACTCATCTGCTTGAGTTGCTGCAAACATGCTTAAACAGGGAATAAGACTGCTGTCCTCCCTGACTGCTTCCCAGTAGTTACGACTAATAGGGCAGAGTGGAGTTTCAAGCCTGACCCAATGTATCTCCCTCCCCAAACTCAGTAGTGACTTTACGTGGGTTCTCAGCGCAGCCATATTTCTAAGTGTTTTGGTCAGTTATATAACCAAATTAGGTGACTTGTCCAAGGTCCCAAGACTGGTTAATGATAAAAGTTGGGACCTGGAGAAAGTTTGATTACTCTCCTGGGTTGTTTACACCATGGTCTCTCAGCCTGACAGCTATGGTTTTAATAGGCTCTTCTGAATCTATTTTTTAAAAAATATATTTTTATTGATTTCAGAGAGAGGAAGGGAGAGGGAGAGAGAGAAACATCAATGATGAGAGTGTCATTGATCTGCCTCCTGCATGCCCCCTACTGGGTATTGAGCCTGCAACCCAGGCATGTGCCCTGACCAGGAATTGAACCTCGATCTCCTGGGTCCTAGGTCGATGCTTAACCGCTGAGCCACAGTCGGCTGGACTCGGCTCTGAATCTTTTCATTGCTTCGCATTACTTTCTAAATATTCAGGTTCAGAGTTTATAGCATGTTGATAATTAGGATTCATGTTCACATTTTCAGAAACACTAGTCAAGACACTGTTTTTTGTTAATGTCTCTGAGTGCCCCCGTTTATGAAGTGGTGTTTTTCCCCTCAGGTGCACTTAGAACTACCTCCCAGCTCTTCAGTAGTGCAGACTAAAGAAGATTTCAATCTGCTCAAGTCTAGCAATAGTAGAAGATATGAAGTCCTTAAGGAGATCCTGATCACCCTTGGCCTAAGCTGTGACATAAAGCACGTTCCTGCCTTAACTCCTCTTCACCTGCTCTTGGCTTCGGAGGTGAGTGTGCGCTCAGCAGGGGAGGTGCACCTGAGGTGCCCTTCCTCCAAACTGTCACTCTTACCTGACTCATCCATGGCCCTGGGCTTCGACTTTGATTTCTGTTTTGACTTCAGAACAATCTTAAAGCTGTCCAGGGTTAACTAATATATTTGATATTTGCATGAAAGGGAGGGAGAGAAGACTATTTGAGTTTAGAAGGTCTTAAGTCTTAAGGTTCTGGCCCTTCCCACTTTAAGGGGAAAAGCGTCACTGTTTTATATGCCAAGAGTGTATTTGGAAACCACAATTTACGCGCTTGGGATTGAAAACCTTTGTTTTGATTTGGACCCATCTCAGCAAATCTCAGGAAAGGAAAATCCCGTTTTGCTTTATTTTTGTGCTGAAGCCTGCCATCTTGTGGCCAAGGGGGCTCTGGATTTCAGTGTATGTCTTAGTTGTGTCTAACAGGAAAAGGGCCTGGAGTTGGGGATGCCTGCAGGAATTGTCCTGGCCTTGTATCTGCATTTGATGCCTGTGGTTAATACGTGGTGGTTGAGCAGGTTGCCAGTTTCTCCAGGTGTGTCTTCTTGCTTATCTCTTTGCTTTGCCAAGCTGTCAATTTCTTATTAATTGTGTCAAATTATTTTGTGAGCCTATTTCTGTTGTCTCCCCTAAATAAGGAAATGGGTGAGTTTAGTGACATAACCATGCAGATTCGGCAAATACCTAATACTAAACCAATCTTTCCTGCTTTCCCTTGAAAAGAACACATTATATCTCCTACCCAACATTTTTAAAAGAGGAGGAGCTCTCCTTTGGGTTATACTCTGTCCCTTGGCAAGCTTGCTGTGCAGAGCAGAGCAGAGCAGAGCTGTGAGCCCTCACCTGGAGAAGAGAGATACAAAATCTGGAGCATTTAAGATTAAGGTAGTTTATAGGAGTATTTGAGGACTAGATGAAATAATATATGTGAAAGTTCTGTATAAATTGTATTATTTAAAAGATAGCACTGTTATTAATTTTAATATTAGATTGTTGGGAGGTTGAGTAAGTTACAAGTGTCTAATGTTTCTAACAAGTGCCTGGTGCTATAGGTAATTATTTTAATTTTAAAATTAATAATAAAGCAACAGGTTCTTTTTTTCCATCTAAGAAACATTCTTTTATTGCATTTTCATTACACAGTGTTTAGTCAGTTTGCACTCTTTTTAATGGGCGCTCCTGAGAATTAATGGTATGACTTTTGTTTGCACCTGTATCTCAGGAAATCAAAGCTTGATGTCATTTACTTGTTTAATGCGTTTCGTTAATAGAAGGAAAAGCACCACCTCCATCCATCTGGTGACTTATGAAAAAGTATCAAAATAAAGCTGGTCTTCAGAGCTTCAGCTCTTGTAGACCACCCTCCTGCAGACCTGTTACCATGGAGGGATGGGCAGAACCATGTGGGTAAGGGGAGATGTGACTGCCACTCTCACAGACCTTCTCCCTCCCTCCTTTCCTGAGCATGGAGGGCTGAGGCTGGACATGTGAGGAGGTTCCTGCCTGCTCTGGAGGAGGCTCACAGCCTGGCAGGTCGGGGAGCAAAATAGACCATGGCTTGCCCTTGACCGTGCTCTCTGACCTTTTTCCAGGAGTTCTTCTGACCATTCTGGTCTTGGGACTTGTACCTCTTGATTTTTAGACATAGCAATGGAGAAGGAAGGGTGAACCTAGGTTATTCTGTGAGCAGAAGTTTGGAACTCAAGGCTTTTCTAGTGTCTTCTGTAGGATGCGCATAACCTGAAATACCTAAGGCCTTATTGGGCATCTGCTTATATCACAGTACACAGCAGATGCTTCCTCCTTTTGCCCTTCAGGTTCCTTTTTTTTTTTTTTTTTTTTAACATTATTGATTCCAGAGAGAGGAAGGGAGAGGGAGAGAGAGAGATAGAAACATCAACGATGGGAGAGTCATTGATCGGCTGCCTCCAGCACGCCCCCAACTGGGGATCAAGCCCGCAACCCAGGCATGTGCCCTGACCGGGACTCGAACCCCAATCGCTACTTGAACCCCGATCGCCTGGATCCCAGGTCAACGCTCAACAGCTGAGCCACGCCCGGCTGGGCTGCCCTTCAGGTTCTTTAAACTGCCTCGGGGTGGGGGATACATTTACCCTATACACAATCCATGAGAATGAAACGCTTGAGCAAGATTAAAGCAAATACTTGTTCTGTATACACATACATCAGTGTTTCATAGACTCCAAGCCTACCAAACCCCTTAACACATTCTAACTTTGGAAAGGCGTAATTTTCAGTGGTGTCCGCTTCTCATTTCTAGTCTCCGTTCGGTCTGGTTGATCTTGGACATCTCCACTGTGGCCTACTTTTTCTTCCCAGCTGCTTCTCTCTGAGTTCTGTTTACTTTGGGGGCCCAAGGAACTGAGCGAGCGAGTGTATGGTTGTCGCGTATGTCCTCATTTCTTGGTGTTTATTAATTCCTCTCAGAGTACAAGTTTTCTAAAGGATTGTCATGCAAATGAATGTTAAGGTAGCTACTTACCCACTGTGACAGCCTTTCTGGTGATTCCTGCTTTTCTGATGCCAAGTCAGAGACATTTAGGAACATCTGGCCGTTGTGCTGGGGGTTCGGTATTGGTAGGTAAGGATGACAGGTTGGGACTAGAATATTTTCTGTTTGCTTTCCTGTAGCCTTCCTGGTAGCTCTCATTGATCCCCATGGAATTAAGTTACACGGAGAGGCTCTTGGCATCCTGGCATCCCACTGTGTTAGACACAGCCCACCCTTAGATTCATCACCAGCCTTCCGAATTGGATGCCTGCGCATGCTCTCCGCTTCCTGTAAAATACTCTGCGCTGCTGGGACTGAATCAAAGATCTCTGGCCACATGGTGTCGCTGCTGAGCTAGGCTGTCTGGTGAACAGACACCCTGGACCGATCAAGTTCAGTTTAGAGGTTTAATTTCTTTCTCTTGACATCAATTTCACATAGTATAATTTAGTAGTTTTCCATGATACTGGTGGCACTTTCTTTTGGGTCTGTAGAGATTATTTCAGTGTCACAGTTAATAATATTCATCTTTCATTAAACATTTACTGTGTACTAGGTGCCATTACAGGATGGAATAGGAAAGAACAAAATATACACACTGGTTATCTAAATACCTTTACTGCATACCAGCTGTGTTTATATAGTTTGGTGCCTAGACACTCACTCTTTATAGCAAATAGCGCAGAAGATTTATGAGGTACCTCTGTGCTTCCATATTACTGCGATATGAATAAGACTAGCACGGTGATCCAAGTAGGAAAAAAACACCCAAAGTACAGTTGACCCTTGGTATTTTCTAGGGGTGTGTCCTGAGGCCTTCGTCGACACCCAAATCACCACAGTATCATGTGATTTCCGCTATAAAATCCAGTCAGTATGATTTCATGGTGTCACCGTGCATGACAAGTCCAGGCTTGCTGAGGTGCAGACTCCTGGTGGCCAAGCTGGCCTTCCTCTTTGGCTGGGGTCTAGCCATTTAATTGAACCTCCCAAGGGCAGGATTGAAATTTGGGTCTCAGCAAATTTATGATATGTCAAAGTAAACCAATAAAACACATGAGCACATTCACACCATTCCCATATGTCCATAGAAAAAAGACTGGAAGGAAATACAGTATATATACAGTATATTTTTGGGTGGTGGGCTAAGGGTGATTTTAATAAGCTTTTAAAACTTTCTTTGTATTTTCCAAATTTTGTATAATGTACATGTTTTATTTTTATAAAGAGCAAAACCAGCCCTAGCTGGTTTGACTCAGTGTTTAGAGCATTAGCCCATGGACTGAAAGGTCTTGGGTTCAATTCCAATTAAGGGCACTTACTTTGGTTGCAGGCTTGATCCCTGGCCTCGGTCAGGGCGAGCGCAGGATGCATCCAGTTGATATGTCTCTCTCTCATCGATGTTTCTCTCTCTCTCTCCCCCTATCTCCCTTCTACTCTCTCTGAAAAGTAATGGAAAAAATATCCTTGGGTGAAGATTAAAAAAAAAAAAGCAAAACCAGTTATTAAAAATTAAACAACAAATTGCTCTTGTCAGTAGACTTTGAAGGCATTGCATAAATGGTCAAAACTTGAGTTAAGAGGCAAGGAGTCCCATATAGATATTGATGCTTTACTTAATGTTTGACATCTATGTTAATTATTAAAAAAGTATTAGTTTTGTTAGTAAATGACTTTGCGCTGGTGAATGCCCATTAGGCTTAATTGTGGCTCTCAGGGCCTCAGCTGTCTTGGCTCCTGTGGGTGGAAGGTCCTTTGGTTCATAATTTGAGTGCCCCTCCCCTGCTTGGATGTAGCAGTTTCTTGATGGAACCCCTTGATTGAACTATTTCTCAGAAAGGACCACACACTTGTTAACATTATGCTGTGAGTACTTTCAGGCAGGTGACCTCCTTTCTGGAAGTGTGGGTGGACCTTGAGACTCCTGAGCTACATGCTGTACCACGGGGTTCTGTGGAGTGAGATTACTGGGTGGCCACCAAACCTGCCATGGGTGGTGATGCTGAATTACCAGGAATCCGCTGTCACTGTGGGGGACATGAGTGTGTTTGTGAGCAACACCGATTTTATAGGAAAGACAGTTCTTTCCCTTACAGAACCTAAAGTCCAATCGAGAGACTCACTCTCTTGCTTCCACTTCTATCTCTGCCAGGAAAATGGCAGAAAGAGAGCCTGTGCTGTAGTGGCCTGAAGGGTCTGCCCTGAAACAGATGTGGGAACCTGAGTGATCGGGACAGAGACCCAGCCTCCCTCCATCCCTGCAGAACTGCTGCCTGGGAGTCCTTTTCCATCCCCCAGTCCGGCTGTAGGACTCGGAAGACGGTGGGACAGTGCACAGTCCGCCTGGCATGCACCCTTCCCCGGGGCCATCCCGGCTCTGGTCTGGGGAGCACGAGGGTCTTTCGGAAACCACAAAGCTGGGATTCTTTTGGGCATTGCTCGTGGCCAGTTGCTAATGATGTGG